GGTCTCGAACCCGCGGGCTCAGGCAATCCATTCACCTCGGCCTCCCAAAGCGCTGGGATTACAGGCTGAGCCACCGAGCCCAGCCGGGTTCCAATATCTTAAACATAAGTTATTATCTTATTATATCGGAAGTGCTACTAAAAAGTAAAAACGTTTCTTCCTATTTAGTAAGAAAAACCACGTGGCGTTAAAGAGAAGGGGGTAAAAAGCCACCACCATGCTTGTTGTAAATGAATAAAATTACCTAAAATACAATCATCTCCTGACTGATATCAAATTATAGTAACGTCTCAAAGACCAGGCCAAGCCACTCTTAACTGTAAAATGGGAATAAATTGGTATTATGTAGTAGCCGTCAGCATCCAAGAGTATAACTAATATTTACATAAAATGTACCCAAGTCCAGACTCTAGTGTACCAAAGGGAAAGGACTGGAGACTGAGACCATTTTGTAACCAATAATCCACTTTAATAAATTACAGGAATTAAAAATCTAAAACAAGGAGAAAAGAAAATCGCAGTACTTTCCCCTCAACATTCTTAACTACCAAACTAAGATTCCCTTCCATCTGTGACACTTACTAGTTCGTCCCACCTCTGTGAGCCTCAGTTTCCTCATCTGTCAAATGGGGCTAACAGGACCTACCCACTTCATGAGATAGTGCCCGAACTGGATGTAGCATAGGTAAGGACACAGCAGATGCTCAATTAGTAACAGACCCTTCATCACTGTCAGCTTTATGTCTCCATTATTTTCCTGCCGGAGGTACCGCGGTGTCTTACGATGCCAAGCCCGAGAAAGACTCCACATCCAAAAGCTTTTTTGGAGAATCAAGTTACGGCTCAAGGTATCCGAGGCCGAAACAGGCACAGGACGCTGACAGCGGCCGCCCCAGCTCGACCGTTACCACGTCCGCAAGGTCTAGTGGCCTTCCTGGGCTTCCCAGACAGGCCCGCCCCGGAACGGCCACCCGCGGGCGACAGGCGGTGCCCACCGACGGCCTCAGCGCCCCGGGGAGGCCGGGCCAACCCCAGCCCGACACCAGAGCCTGGGTACCCCCTCCCTAAGCCCTGGCCGCTCCCGCCCCGCCGCCAGAGCCCCCTCCCTAAGCCAGGACTCCGTTCTCTAAGCCCCCGCCGCCGGAGCCGCACCTTGAGGTGGCTGCGCAGGCCGCCAGCGCCCCCGGACTGGTCGGAGATCTCGTAAGCGCCTGTCACCAGCAGGTCCTTGTGAATCTCCTCGCGGAGGCACTTGCGGGAGTTAACCGGCAGATGGAAGGAGATAGCAAGGACCAAGTTGGGGCCGAACAGGAACAAAAGCAGCCAGGCCAACGGGCAAGGGCCACGCCAGGATAGTAGGCCGGGCGGACCAGACATGGTGCCAGAGAGTCTTCACCACCGCGGGCCTCGGCCGCGCCGGAACCGGGAATATCCACGTGATTCACCTCTGACCTAATGACGCCGTCGGCGCCATCTTGGAGTCTGGCAAGTAGAGAAAGACTATATAGTGAACCTTTGAAAGGGAAGAAAGGATATGGTACCACATCACAACTGCAAGTTTAGGGCTTAAAGAAGATTTTTCTAGAAGATTGTTGTAAACGTCTTATTTTTTGTTGAGGTTGATATCTCTGAGTTGGCCATGGCAAGTATGGGCATCTCCGGAAGTAATTTTCCATTTACTTCCGGGAGGCGTACCCGCGAGTTTTCAAATGTCGATGTCACCATAGCAACCAAGCTCCAATGGGGAACAGCCACAAAGTCCTTAGCTGGGCCCGCCCGCCGGTTGCGTCTCCGCCTCCGCCTCCGCCCAACGCCTTGATGCCTTGGTGACAGCTAGGAGGACATCGAAGCACTTAAGAGGAAGATTCCGAGAAATGATTTTTTTGTGTGTGTGGGCACAGAAGTCTCACTATGTTGCCTAGGCTGGTCTCAAACTCCTGGCCTCCAGCGATTCTCCCGCCTCGGCCTCCTAAAATGCTGGGGTTACAGGTGAGAACTATGCTCAGGCGAGGAAAGACTTTAAGCTGGCTGTTAACGAGGATAGGCTGGTGCCCCAGAGGAGGCGTGAGGTTACCTGGTGAAGGGTAAGCGTGTGGTGTCCAGTTCAGACCTTGAGCGGAGTGTTTGGGCTGGAGTAACTGTTTGGCTTTCTGAATGTGCATTTTATTTTTTAGCAGACATTGAGCATCTTCTATGATAAGTTAGATTCAAATTTTGTATTTAAATGGAATAAAACACTGTTTTCGTTCAAGCTGAGAGATGAACATAATTAAAGGTTTACCAGATAATAGTCAGCGGAGGTAAGTATGTCTGTGTTTTAAATGCACAAATGCTTTAGGGATCAAATTGGTTGTCTGTCATAAGCAAATTCACACGGTAATCATTCATGCATTCATTCAACAAACATTTATTGAGTACCCACTGTGTGCCAGACCCCATACTATGCATGTATACCAACATGTTTATTGACTTAACAAATTATTATTGGGATGCTATCAGATATTCAGAGTTGAAGAATATATGATGATAAACGTGGAATGCACAACAACCTATGATTGGAGTCATTATCTACTTTGATTAAAGTTTATTAAGCATCTACAGAAATACCCAGAAGATAGACTATCTGCCCCTGGTAATTTAAATGTTCTTTTTTTTTTATAGCTCCTTTCATCCATCTAGTTCTTTTCCTGGAACCGAAGTCCTACAAACGAAACAAGAGCAAACATAAAGGAGCTGTAAAGCATTTAAAAATTTGACAAATGCCATATAATAATTATTTTATGAGGTGTCCACTTAGGAACATTTAGTTTGTTTTTATCCTTGATCTCAGATAACATTGCTAGTCCACTCAGTACAACCTGATCATTTGCACTGGCCTTTTCCCTGCCAGTGCAGGGCATCAGGATCAGCAGTTACCTAATGCATAATGTGTGTGCGCTCTCCTGAGGCTCTGCTGACCCATGGCAAGAGATTTGCGTCCCATAAACTGTTTTCTATAAATTTCCATTTCACATTTACATAAGAGATTATGCACTTTACAATATTTTAAATATTTTCACATCTTAATGATCTCAGTTGATATTTTTAAAAATCCTGTGAAATATGTTCATTTTACAGATGAGGAAACAGGTTCTGAGAAGCCAAAGAACTTTCATACGGTTAAAGAAAATATCGTTGACACGTGTTAGAGAACTGTAAAGCAGACTTTCTTTACTTAAAGGGGACTGTCTGTGTAGGGGACTACAACAACGGAGTGTTATAGTAGGGGAGAGAGGTCGGGCTCAACTTTGAAAACAAGAAGATATTTGTAGCCAAGGATTGGGTGAGGGTCAGTAGATGGAAAATTACTAAGAGGAAATATCAGGAATGAGGGGAGATTCAGACTGAACTACCTTGGAGTTCTTTGGACAGTGCAAAGACACGGAAATCCAGAAGTCATAGCAGCCTGATGAGAGTCCATCAAGGAAAGAATCCTTGTCAGCACCCGAGTCCTGTAGCTCAAGAGTGACAAAGGCAGTCTGAGGGCCCCAACTTTCCTAGGAAGGTGCTATTATTTCTTACTTTACAGATGAAGAAACAGAGACTCAGAGAAGCTGAGTGACCATCCTGGGTCCAGCTCTCAAGTCCCTTCTCATCCTGTAGTCTCACTTGTCCCCAACCTCCAGCACCCCTGTCTCCCTCCTCCTTGCACTCACCATTACCTAACCTAGTGTGCATTTGACTTATGTATTGTGTTTACCAGTCCGTCTCCCTAACTAGCATGTTTTGTGAGGGCGGGGATTTTTGCTTATTTTGTTCACAGCTTTACCTTCTGAACCTAAAACAATGCGTGGCACTTAGATACGATAAATAATGGTTCGATTAACGTGAGACTGGTTCCCTAGAAGGTCCAACAGCAGATTCCTTCCATTAGTCCTTAGCTGTTTCACACCAAATTTATTAATATCTAATGTACAGTGTATCTGAAATGTAGGGTCCAACTTCAGTTTTATCAACAACATGCATATCTTTCTTTTTAATGGGAAAATGTACTCTTACTTCCATATATGGACAGAGAGAAAAAAGAAAAAAACAATTCTCTATATGCTGTGGAACTGGAGGGCAAAGTAGATACCCCGAGGGCACTGAGACTTAACCCTGCCCCTGAATTAAAGAAGGTACTGCCAGGTGCAGTGGCGCTCACCTGTCTGTAATCCCAGCACTTTGGGAGGTGGAGGCGAGAGATTGCCTGAGCCCAGGGGTTCGAGACCAGGCTGAGCAACTTAGCGAGACCTCATCTCTACAATAAATCAAAAGATTAGCCAGATGTGGTGGCTATACCTATAGTTCCAGCTATTTGGAAGGCTGAGGCGGAAGGATCGCCTGAGCCGAGCAGGTCGAGGCTGTGGTGGCCGTGAGCGTGCCCCTGCACTCCAACCTGGGCAACAGAGCGAGACTCCAACTCAAAAACAAAACAAACAAAACAAAAAAACACACCTCACCTCACAGTGAATCAGAAGCTCTTGTTACGAATCTGCATGTGTAACAAGCTGGCTGGGAGAATGCGGCTGGGAGGCCTATGCAGTGTCTGGCCCTTTCCTGACTTCTCCTTCAGCCAGGTGCTCTCCAGTATGGCTGGATGCTCCCCAATTCCAATGGTAAAGCCATCAAGGCTTCCTGCCTCAGTGTCCCTGTCCGTTCACGTGTACAGTCTCACTCACAGTGCATATTCACATGGCCGAGACAAGACTGGTTCTGTGAAGATACAAGAGACCCCTTTGGAAAGCAGTTTGGCAGTCTCAGCCATGTGCCAGAGTCTTTTGCCCAGAGATTTGATTCCAATGGGCGCTTTAAATGGTGGAGTTCCTGGGACCTGGTCCTGGAACCTTGTCTGCATTCCAGGTGATGTCATCCTGTGGCTTCAAATGCATCCATAGGCCGACAACTCTTGAACATGGGTCTCCAACCTTGACCTCTCCCCAGAGCTCCAGAGTCTACATCGAGTTCTCTCTGGACGTTTCCACTGGGATGACTAATAGGCAACTCATACTCAACTTGACTTCCCTTCTCTCTCATCCCAAATCTGCTCTTCCCCATCTCTAAATGGCACCACCTTCTGCCCAGGTGCTGAGACCATCTCCACCCAAGTGCCAGCTGGATGTCAACCCTAGCGAGCCCACCCAACATAAGTAACCCCATCCCCAGGTCACCTTCTGTCACGTTATCTGGTTTTAGTGTCCACATAGCATTTGTCACTATTTGAGAATATCTTGTCTATTTCTTGTTTATTACCATCCTTGTTTCCTCTTTCTCTTATGCCTCCCACCAACCGGTTCATCTGCAAGTCCTGTCAATTCTGGGTCCTAAAATCCTACTGCTCTCTAAGCTAGGGGTCCACAACCATTGCATAGCTGGGCAGGTCAAACCCAGCATGTAGCTGCCTGGTTTTGTATTGTCCAATAGCTAAGAATGGTTTTTACTTTTTTTTTTTTTGGAATCAGAGTCTCTGTCACCCAGTGGCACGAATCATGCAACCTCCACCTCTTGGGCTCAGATATCCTTCCACCTCAGCCTCCCAAATAACTGGAACTACAGGCACACACTACTGGCTAATTATTTGATTTTTTTGTGGAGATGAGCTTTTGCTGTGTTGCCTAGGCTGGTCTCAGTCTCGTGCTCAAGCAGTCTTCCCACCTTGGTCTGTTTCCCAATGTGTTGGGATTACAGGCGTGAGCCACTGCGCCCAGTCTTTTACATTTTTTGAGAGTTGTTAAAGGAGGAGGAGGAGAAAGAGGATGTGTGACAGAGAGCTTATGTGACCCACAAAGCCTGAAATATTTACTATCGGACCTTTTACAGAACAAATTGGCTTCTTTCAGCAAACAGGACAGTAGCTTCCTTACTGTTATCTCTGCTTCCATTCTTGCCTGACATAATCATACTCATTAATACCCCAGAATGATTTTTAAAAATGCAAATCAGATCAATTAGAACAAGATTCAAACACATCACCACAGCCCAAAAGGCCTGGGGTCTGGGACATGCTTACCCATCTAATCTCCTCCCACCTAATGAAACTTACCGACCCTGGCTCCTGTCTGCATCAGAGGCTTTGTGTTCACTGTCTGCCTGGAACTCTCCTCCTAGGAGCTTGTCTCATGGACTCCTTGCAGACTGCTCATCTCCAATTAGGTCCCAGCTGAACGTCAGCCCTAGAGAGCCACCTGACATAAGTAGCCTTACCCTGGGTCACTTTCTGTTGCATTGTCTGATTTTAGTGTACACATAGCATTTGTCACTGAGAATATCTTGTCTTTCTTTCTTGTTTATTATTACCTACCCACTGGAATTTAAGCTGCAGAGAGCAAGGGCTTTGATTTTTGCCCAATATATCCCTGAAACCAGGCACAATATCCTGTATGTAGTGGGTGCTCAACAAATATTTGTTGATTAATTAAATGAAACACTACAGCCTAATATAAAGC